TAAAGAAAGCAGGCTTTCAACTATAGAAAGGGTTGAAAATGGTGAGTGACAGATTGACCAAAGAGCACAGTAAACGAGTATTATCAAATGGTTTGATGTGGATTCTTCTTGCATTGATAAACATATTGTTTATCAAAGGTTAATGCTTAACAAATAGCCTCAAGATACATTCAATTTCTTCCTCCCTTACTTCCTACCTTATTTATTAAGTACCTTCCTGATTCTTCTAAAGTATCATGGGAGTTCAGGTTTACTTTTGCTTGTGAAGCAGCATTAATAGTAACCAAGTACATCCTATAGCTGTTACCTTCCTTTACAAAGATGGAAGTGTCACTTTTGTGCTATGAATTCTTCAAAATGTAGCAACTTCCATAAAACTTCCCGGTAGTGAAACGGTGGATGCAATGACCATGCTAAATGATTCTTAATAAAAACTGACTATGTCCAAATCCTATCATCTCAAATGAAAAACAATAATATACATTTCTGTACACTGGCAAATCACAACACTTGCTCCTAAAAGGACTTACAGAAACAATCTTGCAACTTAATCTATACAGTTTTTGCCAAAAGCAACCAAACTAACATTTGTATGGCAATGTATTTCAATTTGAAGTGATATTCCTACACAGAACAGTTAGGATAAACTGCTCCATTCAGTTGTTTCCCTACAAAATTTTCAGAGAATGAGGAATCCCTCTTTGCTGGGAATGCAGCATTCCTGTTTGCTCTAGCGTTACGAGTGTCAAAGTAGTTGACAGAGAAGAGAGCTACACTTTCCTCTGAATACCAAAGAATATTGCTTCTGTGTAATAACCAATAGCTTTGTTTGTTTAGCAACGTTATTAAATACACCCATCAGGAGACAAGACAGTTAACAAGTCATAATTTTATATTATTTGCAATTTGGCCAGATAACGACACGTTACATTTTGGGCCATTCTGAAAGGAATACAGTTACAGCCATGAGGCCTGAATAAAAGCAAAGAATCTAGATATCATATGGGATGAAAAAGCTTGTAAATTAAAAAGTGCAATGATACATAAAGAAGTATTTGTTATAAAAGGAATGTGTTTGTTTTCAGATGTTCTTTTCTCCTGCTGCTTTCTGAAAGATACAGTAAGAAAAAAAACTATGACATAAAGGAAAAAAATATTCACTATATGTAAAACACTATGAAATGACAGCATAAAGTAGACATAAAGATACGCAATTAATTTATCAGTTCACAGGAGGAAATTCATCAAAAGAAAAGGAATTTTGTTATTACTAACCACGATTCATGGACTTGGACTTAGGAATGTCCTTGCCTACCATTATGTAAAATCTTAGTTCCACTCTTTTATAAATATCTTTTCTTACAGTGACATAACAGTTACAAAACATTTTTGTTCTGTTTGCCAGATTCTTTCTATCACTCAAAGAACAAGTAATTATTTTATCACTAAGACTTTAATCACTATGCATTAAGTCAACAACCACAACTTTTGGGAACTGCAGTCTGTACTCTAGGATTTAGCCAGCTAAGAAGGAAGTATTTTAGAGAGAGTAGTACGCCATAATTTCAACCTGTTAAACAGCATATACTAGAGTATTCTTTTTTAAATGAAGATAGATTGCAGACATTTCATAAAGCTGATGGGAAGAAATTCTGGATATATGCTGATCAGAATTTGCCTTTGTGATAAAAATCAAGGTGGTCATCACAGGTAGTTTTGACTTTGAAGTTCCATTAGAACCCGGTGTGCTAGATCTGCCAAATCCCTGCCTGGCTCTGTGCCATGCAGCCTGCCTTTTAGCTCCAACGCCTCCAAGAACCGATGGCTCACAACAGCCTGTCCCAGAGGCAACTGGCTTGTATAATCCCACTGGACAATACCTCAAATTGCAATTGGAGATCTTAAAGAAAGAATAGAAAAGAAACCGAAGACTGGATGTCACAGACAAGCTTACATATTCTTCCTCGCTGGAACCGGTAAACCTCTGCAAATCATGGTTAGCGCACATTGGGGAAGGTTATGATATCAGCAGTTTACTGTTTTGTTTCTAAAGAGAAAGCTGCAGTTATCAGCACTGTCCATGAATAGCTCCTTTCTCAAGCACTAACATCTCTTTATATATGAAGTTTAGTCAGCTTCAGTAGCTGATGAAGCAGTAGTATATGAAATGTCTTGAGACACTTGAAAGAATACAGCTTTAAGATGTAAGGAAAGCCACAAGTTAAAAAAAAAGTTATTTGCAGAACCTTAACCTTTAGTATCCCAACATGCTTCTTTTCCCTTATCCAACAAAAAGGCATCAAAAGGAAGTGAGACTTAAAATCCTTGGGCTCCAAATGTTTCAGAAACATTATGTAACTGTAATGACAACATTTGAGTTTTAAATAGAAAGGGACACTAACACAATTAACCTTAAAATAATTTGTTTCAATCTCAAAATAAGTGTCCGATTCATACTCACTCAGTTGTGTTATAATACTATTCTTAGCCTGACTAAAAATGAAGCTTAGGCCACTGGGGATGCGGAGCAGGTAGTGTTCAAAAGCTGCTTGGGACTTTTTTTTTTTACACACTATTGTTTCGAAGGAACTTCTGAAGATGAGCTTATATAACATTATAAAAATTGGAATTTTCTCATTCCTGCATCATTTGCTAAAAAGAAAACAAGCCTTCAGATTCCTTATGAAGATACTTTCTTGAGTAGCATAAATGCATAATGAAATCGGAGCAGCACAGAGAATCACTTGGCATGCTTTTGTAAGACCTTTTTGTAAGGTCAAACAAATCTTATTTTAAACATGTCCTGAACATCTCTTGATTTGAGGCATCCCCATCAACAATTTATCGGAAACTCTTTTAAACAAGTATGTCTCACGTGACTGAGACAGAAACAATGAGAAGCACAGTGCATCTGTCGCAGAGCACATGCACAGGCTTGTTTACTAATGGGTTAGGATATGATCTGTTCAGATAGCTAAAGTGCTCCTCCTAGAAGCATTATAACCTACACCAAAACCAAATTTGTAAAACATGCAAGATATACACACCTACTTGTCTACTTTATAAGGGAGCTCACAAAAGTATAATAAAATGCCTCCTTATTTTCTGTTTACTATAGCATGTTGAACAAACCTACCCAGATTAGATGGACTGCTCTGAAATCTCAATCCAACTGGAAAAGCCTGACTGGAGTTTAAACTTCACAAACAACCCACACCTTAACAGACCAAACAAAAAAACTCCAGGCAAATGTTTTCATATTCTAGCTGTGTCCCTGATACAGCAGCTAACAAAAATGTCAATAAGGTAAATCAGCAACTATGTTGGATTAATTTGCCGAAGTAATGCTTAAAATACTCTTCTTTAAATCTGTGCATCCCTAATTTTTCTTCATAGTGGAAGTACAGAACAATCCAAAGAAAAAGAAAGCCTCAAGAGCTTGCATTTTCTTACTTGCTTTTTGTAAAATTCTTAGAAATAATCCACCACAGGTTTTGTTACAGACTGACTACTAATACAGGAACATTCAGGTGTGAGTACTGGCAATATGAAAAAGCACACCTAGGACGGTTGGGTTATTTCCTGGGCTAGTCCTCCCCTACTCCTGAAGTCTGTGGCCGAGACCCTTGGCACCGGGAACAGACACATTTGTCACTTCCTATGTGCCTGGCATTTAAATGGAGCCAGTTTCCAATCTTAAAGGAGAAACCCTACTTCTAACAGCTCCCTTGCTAGAAAGCACAGAAGAGGTACTAATAGCACAAACAGAAAATCTGAGTTTCCTTTTCAACTGCTAACCCCAGTTATACATGATAGGAAAAGGTATAATACTACCAAGAAAATAAACACCTTTGCTAAATGTGGAACTTCTAATCCCCCTCCTTTTCCTAAGAAACGCAAGCCTTCATTTCTTCCATTTTCTGCAACTTTCTCTGCTTAATGTTCCGCTCACCAAAGTTAATTTATAAGAAAAAGACGACAGAGGACTTTGACACCTACTTTGGTAAACACAGACCAAAACTCAGCTGCAATTACTGTGCTTCTGTGTCACCAGAGAAACTTTACAGTTTCGTGATCTTTCCCAGGCAGTGACTGCATTAGGTTCTTTTTAGTCCCACTGGGGATAAGTAAGGGTAGTTGTCCGACGCCGTTCCAGAGGGGGCTGGTAAAGGGATCTATCCCAGCAGCCCCCTACAAACTGCAGGTGCTTTAACCCTTTTTTTCTCTGCTGTTTGATCACGCTTCTGTGCTCAGAGGCCCGGTCTGTTGTAGGGAATCTGTGCCACTGACAGTCTGAGGGTAATTCCACTGGGTAAATGTCCAACCCTCTTTCTAACCCTAATGACTAGCTCATTTTCTCCAGCTTAAGAAAAGCAGAAGTCAAATTTAGGGTTGATGTGTTCTGGTTTGATAAGAACTATGAAAGTTGCGCTTTCTGAGACAGCCCGTGAACAGTGTCTTAAGATAACTCAAATATGCCTAATTTAACAACCACTCCCCCAGCCTCTCTCGATCTGCTAGTTCCACATCCCTTTCTGGCAACACGACAGTCCAGCTGAGGTTGCTCCTGGCTTCTAAACAACCCGTCGCCAGCAGCCTGACTGAAAAGAGGGATGCCGCAGTTACGGTACGAGGGAGGTAGAGCGCGTCCTGAGGCGCGGGCTGGCGACGGGGCTTTTGCCAGCGTTCGCGCGGTGCTGACGAGGAGCCAGCCCGGCTTGCGGCCGCACAGCGGATCCTGCTGTAGCAAAACAAGTTAACGGATGCGCTCGGTCCCTCCTGGCCCGCAGGAGCTCTTTGGCAAGGCGGCACCGGCGCCGAGCAGCCCGTCCGCCGAGCCCGCGGACGAGTCGGCAGCGGGACGGGGGCGCGGGCAGCGGGAGCTGCCCTCAGGCGGCGCACCCCGGG